TGTGTGTGTGTGTGTGTGTGTGTGTGTGTGTGTGTGTGTGTGTGTGTGTGTGTGTGTGTGTACGTGTATGTGTGTGCCGATCTGTTTTGTACAAATATATACAAAAGGAGCCGCCCGCGCGCGCGCGCCCAAGAAAAAAGAGTCACCCCTTTCCGCGAGAGGATCGCTCGATTGTCACGCGGAAGAGGATCCCCCCTCAGGCGCGTCCAGCGAGTGCCTCTGCCTGCCTTTTTTCCCCTTCACTCTTTTTTTTTTATCGTTTAGACATAGCGAGTATGTGGTTCCTATTTTGACGGGCGTGCCTTTTTCATCGGTGAAAATGAAAAACCAAAAGGCCCTCGACTTAAGGTCTAGCGCATAAACTAAAGGCGAAAGTGGACGTTGTACAGTCGGACATATTATCATATTACATAATCCGCTTCGCGGAGTGACTGGATGGCGCGATGTGCTCACGTGTTTCACGTGATTTCTCTACTTTTTTTTTTCTCTTGTTATTTTTCCCCCCGAAGACCGGACGAGCGCGATTGTAAGAAGCGCGAGTAAAACGCAACGTCGTGTGTCATCGCGAGCGAGAAACCGAAAACAAGTAAGGATAGACGTCGTGTGTCTCTACGCATCAAAAAGGCGTCTTTCGGAGAGATAATGACATATCTCGTTCGAAAACAAAAAAGGAAAGCAGAAACGAAAGAAAAAGAGAGAGACAGAGAGAAAGAGAGACAGAGGATAATAATAATTTAATAAGACAAAAACGCAAAAACGAATATAGATTTTTGTACACTTAAAAAACATTAAAAATTCTTTTAGTTATACGCTTTATTAATAATGTAGGTATGTACACATATACACAATGTACAGAAAACCCGTGCGCTGGGTCCGAATATGTGTCCGCCGTATGTTTATTTAATTATTATATAATACAACGAGTGAAGAGTATAAGTAGAAAGAGTATACAAACGAAAGAATAGAAAAAGGGGCGGCGATAGCCGCGGAGACAGTACTTGTCTCTCGCGTTAGTCATTAATAAAGAGACACGGCTGGTCTCGCGCTATCTCTACACTTCCTCTTAGCGCCGAGACACGACCGTGTCTCCCGATTAAATCCACGACTCCAATCATCCGATGGAGACGTGCGCGAAAAAAAAAATAAAAGTACAATGCGGTCGCGTGCGTTTCGCAATACCAAGTCAAGTTTCCGTTTCGAAGTGTGCGTGAAATGTGTTCTTGTACATTGTATATAGTATATACTTGCCTGTGTGTATGTTCCTGTATACATGTGTGTGTGTGTGTGTGTGCGTGTGTGTCTGTCTGCGCGTGTATGTGTAAAATAACGCGGACAATTATGCTCGCGATACAAGAGACAATGGAGAAAGGCATATCGAGCCTAAGTACAAACCCAACCGGGCAACAAATTATCAGCATCATCACTGTCGTCGCGATCCCAACGTCGCGCACTGCTCCTCTAAATTTTCGCTCCGCGAAAAATGCGCTGCTTTCCGTCGTGTCAATTCAACCGATCTCTACGAAATCCATATGTACATGTGTGCAGCAGAACAATCGACCGCCAATATGCAAGTTGCCAAAGACTTCTTCTCAAAACCGGTCGCAAAAGATAAAATACCGTACGATACCGATCACATTACTAAAACGCGTCATCAACCGTCGGCTTCGAATAAAATCAAATCGTCCACTTTCCCTCCCCCCAATCTTACCCACCCTTTCTTTCGTTTTCCCTCCCTTCCCATAGTATTCCCCTTATCATTGACGTCAACATCAACTTCGTGAGAATCCGTATCGCACCAGACAACGTCTTTGGCTCGAATCATTCGTTGGCTCTCCCGCGTGTCGCCAACGAGTCTTTATCACCGTTACCAAAAGCGTTCGGTGAAACCCTTCACGGTTCCAACCATCTAACAGCTCCTCTGTACAAAGAGGAACAGAAAATTTGAGCCCTGATTCGACATTGAAAGAGGGTCTTTAAGATTCTCTTTCTTTCTTAACTTTGAGCCCGGTGCCCGCGTTATCCTCGCCTAGGATGGTAGCTATTTCACCCTGCATGAAGGCCCACGGTACCTGGCTGTTCGCCAGCGGGCATTTTTCGCCGCTCGGACAATAAACCTGAAACAAAAAACAAGAACGGATACCGTTGAGGATTGTTTGTGGAATATCTGGAGAAAGGCACCAAAATGCAATATTATAAATACTCACCTCTGAGCCGGCACCTTGTCTCTTTATGCTATCTCGACTGCATGGGAAGCAGAACTTGTGATGTGGCACGCTGGGGCACTGCACAAAGTGCGTATCTTCCAGACGTTCCTGGCACAGAGTACACTTGAGGGTCGGCGCCGTGACCGGTTCAGAGCCGGCAGTCGGTTGAGCAACTGCACCCTCCGAGGATGTCGTCACGGTCGTGGATGACACCTGCCTTGAACTACTGGATCGTCTGCCCGACGAACCTGCAAATACAATTTTTTCGCAATCGTCATTTGCAATCCCTCGTGCAATTTTACAAAAAGCTTGATTTTAACATTAAAAAGATTATTTTTATATATCATATGATTCGTCAAGAAATCTGATAAGATACAGACATAATCCGTATAAACAACGCGTTTGACTATATCAAGATAACAGATAAAATATGTGAAGAAGAGATATAGAGATAAATATAAAAATATAATACTACTAAAATCACCTGAACTGTTCGGACTGTGCTGGGAGCCTCTAGAAGCACTGCGTTGCTGAGCGTTCGCGGCTGTAGTCGGTGGACTTCTGCTGGTAGGACTGGGATTGTTCGGCGGCTGTGGAACCGGCTCAGGCGATGTTAGATTGTCAGCGACTGACATTAAAGCGGCCATTGGCGACGGACCATTCGCTGTGCCCTGAAAGAGGAAGTGTCACCGTCATTTGGCATTCTAGAATTACAAGCTTATAATGGATTCGCGTAGGAGTTCAGCAGGCCAGAAGGCGCGCAGAAACGTTGATTGCGCGCAGATAAATATGGATCGTCGCCCATGAATGGGGCTGGCCGGCTGAAGCTGTTAGATAATTAATACGTATTTCGTGCGTACCTGATGATGATTCGATTGTGAATTATCGTTGGCGCCTTCCTGACTCGGCGGTGGCGGTGGTGGAGGACTTGTTCTTGGACGAAGAGGTGATCCTCCACCATTGGCCGCGACATTGGCAGGTGCCAACGGTATGGATGGCCCAACGTATGCTCCTGAAAATGAATATATTATATACCGTCAAATGCATGCTGTTTACACATATCTGCAACAAATAAGTATCCTAAATATCGAGCTCTGAGAACTTTTCGAAGCGACTATTTAGAAAACGTGCATTCATACAACATTCAAGAGTTGACCCAAAAAAGACGCAATAATTATGAAATACAATAAGTAAATTATACAGTATTATGCAATTTTGTTTTTTGCTTTCTACCTTCTACTTATTTACTTTGCTTTTCTTCCTTCCTTTTTTTTTTGCAAACATGTATATCATTTTTTTTCTTTCAAAATGCGATCATATCATTCAGGCATCTTTTTCAGAATTGTCTTTAATGTGCAAAATAGAGACAGAATAAAACAAAAATAGAATGAAATGAGCGAACAGTGAAGCAATGTAATCGAATTAAAGCACACGTTATTCCAGTTAATCAACACGATTTCGTTAAGTTTAGTTAAACCGAGATTAAAATTAAACTATACAGTGAGAGCAAAAGGTATTCGTATAAGGAAATTTGTTATAAAAAGTCTTATTTGTAGAAAATAAACATTAATTAGCAATTTTATACAATGAATACATTCTGTTCTAACATAAACAAACGAGCTTCACATGTATGCCTGATTTTAGAAGCTAAATTTCTCGTCTGTACGAATATTTTTTGAGCATTCAAACCGAGGGGTAAACCGCTGACCAAAATCCTGTATACCAATGCCTAGTAATGCCCAGTAATGCCCAGTAATGCCCTCAGCGGTTTACCCCTCGATTCAAACAATACAATTTTTAATTTTCGCTTATTTTTCAAATGATTTTGTATAATTAATACACATCTTTTTGGTATATATAATTTTAAGAAACATACAGTCTATTTTATTCTTTATGAATAAATTGTTAATTATCCAACAAGAAATGATCATGAATTAAACGTCGAATTGACGTCAAATTGATGTTGAGATCATCGTATTTATATCGTTTCGACGTCAATTCAATGACTCACTTCTTGTTGAATAATATTTACTTTTTAAAAATAAAGTTTTTTTAAAAAATATTTTCTCTGTACGAATACTTTTTGCACTCACTGTATTGATAAAAACGAGCCTTAATATTGTTAATAAAATTTCTAACTATACAATTCGTTGTCCTCCCCCAATCTTCAATCTTTCTCTTCAATTAAAAAATTAAAGAGTAGTTAATCTACGTTAATAAAATAATACAAGTATTTCTATAGTATTTAATATTGAAATTTCGCATTCGGATCGTTTATCGTCGGACGCATTTCGGGCGTTGATCATCTCGATTTGTTCAATATAGAGGAAGGCGTGGAGTGTTCCGCGCTACGTCCGTCTAATGAATACGAGAACAGAGTCTATAGTTTGCTCTTCCCCTCCCGAACATCTCAGGTCTAAGCTCGCTCCTCGTTGCACGTACACGAACGTGAGTGAGTGCGCGCGCGCTTTGGCCGGTCATCAAACAGGCCAGTCGACGGACCGTATCTGCTGTCGCTCTTGCCGCATGATTGATCACGACTGACGTTGCCGCACGGAAACTGACTGACGTAACGTACGTGCTTAACGTTCACGAAACGAGATGCTTTCGCGCAAACAACCGGCGGATCACGTTCGTTTAATTCCGAGCGTTCCGAGTCGGTGAACGTCGGACTTGAGAATCAATCCTTCTCCATTTAGCACCGCTAATCCATTATTGATACGTTAACTCGCGCGAGTTGCGCCACTAATATGAAATGTGGAAAATAAATAAAGAATTGCTCGTGGCAATCTGATAAGAAAGTCGCTGGAGTTTGTAGTTTGTAATATTACGAAGTAATATGCTTGTGACGTAATATTATGTGCCTAAAAAGATTACCAGAATCCTCGGATTATATAAAGTATATATGAAGAGATAAAAATAATTAAAGTCAAAATTATATAAGGCATTTTTTGTAATTATAAAGTTAAAATTATAGTTAATTCAATTTTATATTAATTTAATTGCGTTTAATTTAGTTTTATATTACTATAAAACTGAATTTAATATCAAACTAAATTCACTATAATCTCAATTAACTATAATCTCACTAAATTAACTATATAATCTCATTAAATTAGATTTAATTATATTTTATTTAGTTTTGTATTAAAGTATGTCTTTTTTTGTAAAAATAAAAAATAAATGAGAGCAAAAAACTGATTATAAAATGGAATCTTCATATTTTTCCATTTTTAATTTATAAATATTAAATTTTGGAATGACGAAATGCTTCGCTGAAACGGAACTTACATAAATGACTGTTTCTCAATTGTCCATGAGTAATAAATCTCGGAGGACGATAACCTGGTAGAGATTGGAACCGAGTGTATGCGCGCGTGATATTTTCAAGCCACCTAATGCAATGACGTAGGCCGAATGCCACGCAAACAGCTGAATATATAATGTATTGTCGCGCTATCTGGTATCAGTCTCGTTATCTCACTCGATAATGGTTGCAAGATAATCACTATCAGCGATCGCGAACCGTTGTGTTATCATTGTTATTCAATGTGTATGAACTGCGTGTGTGTGTGCGTGCAGTTTATTAAAATATTTTAAATTGTCTAACCTAATAGATTTCACGCGTCGATTACAGCAATAATATAATCGTAGATGTTTAAGCCTAAAAAAATATGTGATTGTTTTATTATCTATCTAAATTGAAAATTTTATAGAACACCTTTAAAATTGATCACGTGATTATATGAAGCCCATTTTTTTTAATTGAGCTTCTTTCATACTTCTTTCTATCGTGAAAAGAAAAAAAGGAAATAGTGCAAGAAGTTCAATCAAAAAGAATAAGTCTAATAATTTCTATATTATCGTGTTGTTTTGTCGCACATTTTTTGACAATATTAAAACTTGCTTAAAACTATTAATTAAAATTTTAACCTCAAATCCCGGTATCTTTATTATTTAAGAAATATTATTTATTTTTTTTTTTAAGAAATTCATTACTACATCTTTCGGAAATATTAGCGGTCACCCGGGATGACGCCGGGATGCGGTTACATCGTGTTATTATCGTGAAAATGCTATTGTAACGAAGTAACCGAGGAAAAAAAGCTCATCAGAGAAGCAGGATTTGCTTGTTTTTCCTGTCGAGTTTTTTTTATCCTTGAAGTTACTGTTTCCGTTCAAAAGACAGCGTTCACGTTTTACGTATACGCGAGTTCTGATAAAAATAGATCACTGTTGGCAAAGATTGGGGTCTGGAAATAAACGCAAAGATTATGGTGTATGTGTGCGTGCGAGGAGAGAGAGAGAGAGAGAGAGAGAGAGAGGGGGGGGGAGGGGGGAGCCTTTGAGATCCAGAGAAGTTCCGCTTGTTATTTGATTCTACCATCGATTATTGATCTTTCGTAACTAAATGATTGCTAGATCTGCTCGACGACGTATTGCTGATTTGCACATTGCGGATATAATTCCAGTACTCGGTGAATGCGAATATTGCGTATATCTAACAGGAATTGAAATATGATTTCCAACAATCTCGATTTTCGGTGTTGCAAATATAGGAAATGTTTAGCTTTACGCGAAACAAGGATATAGGATAACATGTGTAACAAAGGTACGAGAGATTTCATGTGAATTTTATAGTTAAATGAATTTGATGTTTTTATAATTAAATAAAAAATATTTTGTACAAAAAAATATTTTATAAAAAGTATTTCTTATTGATCTCCATTTCGACAAATTAGTTGCTATAGCCATTCCATTAGCGTCGAAATTTCATTTCTCTGACGTTATAAAATACCTCTGATGTCGAAACTCGAAATCAACTATTTCTCGAGTTTCTATCTACACGCGTTGCTTTTCGCACTGTCATTCATCATCGCCGTTTACAACGAGCGGATGCTCTCGCGTGCTGACATAGAATCGTTTTCCTTAATGGAAACCGAATCTCGCCAAATGGATGTAACTTTACAAGTCTCCATAGCCATTTGTATAATCCATTGTATTTTGTCGCACGTCCTGCTATATTCCTTCTAAAAATTGTCAAACGTTTAAGTTACAGCAAACAACAGACAATACATTATATGTTCAGCTGTTTGCGTGGCACCTACGTCATTGCATTGTGTGCTTGAAAATATCACGCGCGCACACACTCGGCTCCAATCTCTACCAGGTTATCATCCTCCGAGATTTATTACTCATAGACAATTGAGAAACATTATCATTTATGTAAATTCCGTTTCAGCGGAGCATTTCGTCATTCCAAAATTTAACATTTATAAATTAAAGATGAAAAAATATAAAGATTTTATTTTATAATCAATACTGAACATTCTTAACGACATCTCCAAATGAGAATTCATGTGGATTCTCGTAAGAGAACATAAAATTCAAAGCATATTTCTAACAAGCTAGAAAGACACGTTGCATGTGTGAGAAATAATAAACAATTTCTTTTTAAAGTTTTTATAATGCTAAAGAAATATGTGGATTCTTCTCTTGGAATCCACTAAAGTTTTTTATTATTTTAGTTTTAAAAGTTTTAAAATTTTCAATATAAAAACTACAATGCAGTATAAATGTATCACGATAATCAGCTTATATGAATAAAACAAAATTTGGAAAAAAATAAAATTGTAAAACATAAAATTATTCCAAGTCATAAAAAAGGCTCCAAGGTCGTGAGGATCCATATGTTACGAGAGTTAAATAACACCTTGAGATATATCTATCTTATTTCTCGTAGAAATTCCCGCCCATTTGGAGTGTCGAAATAACGGTCGACAAGCACAACTAGCAAGGTCACCGTGCCGCCCGCGCGCGTACGGTCAGGTTAGATTAGGCAAGGTTAGGGTAGGGTTACGCGACACCAACGTCGCCGTCATCGTCGCCGCGTGAACACGTCAATGGGCCGCGTATCTCCGCCGGCGCGAAAAGCCAGCGAACGGTGCGAGCAGCAAGAAAAGGGGGGCACGCTACAGTTATCCCGACACAAAATGTCACGACGCGTCGCGG